TAAAACTAGCCTTAAACTAACTTAGTTTTCATATGCTACTGATGCTACTTTGGCTTATACTATTTTGACCTAACATATGTCAATTTTGGCTTAGACAGACAAGTGGGGGAGTCTCAAACTTCCCGCCCTCTTCTTACGGAACCACATTCCTATAAGAGCACTAATTGGCTTTATTGTAATGGTTGGGGGTATCTTACTCTTGCAGGATACCGTAATAACAGTAAAACTCATGGCAGAGAAATTAACTACAGGCCAGTAAAACGACACAAGCAGAGTTAGGAAACCGCTGGCCTGGTCTTGCCGTTTCTTCCCAGCCCGGGCCATGGGAGACAGCCTCTTTACCAGTTTGTGTTGTCTGCATGGCCCCGTCAGGTGTCCTTCAGCCTTCAGAGTGACTTGAGATGAGCTTGTCTCCTCGTTCCACCACGACAGAAGCTCAGGCCCAGGCAGGCTGGCCGAGGGGCCGCTGGAGCTAGGCAGCTGCGGACGGCGGGGCGCGGACCCGCGCTGGCCTCTGCAGGGCAGGCAGTCTCGCCCGCTCTGTGATTGAGTGGTGTGGGGGACTGAGACAATGTCTGTGTCACGTTTCACGTCTGTCACGGCAGATGTGATAGCTGTATGGCCGCACACTCGGGAACGTGCAGGGCGAGCCGCCTGACACGGAGTCCTGCTCTGAGCCAGGCAGGCACAAGTGGCTGGATCCTCACGGTGCCGGGGTGCCAAGCTCAGGGTGCCCTGGGCATGAGTTCCTTGCCCTGCCTGTCGACACTGGCTCTGGCAGGTTCCCCTGCTGTGCTGCGTCCCTGAGGCTAGGGCTGCGGTCCCCCTTTCAGCCCGCTGGTCGGCTGGAGGGCAGGGCAGGGCAGCAGAGGACGTGTGCCCCCTATGGCCGAGGCGGCCTCTGTGAAGGGAAAGCTCACACTGCAGGATCCCTCGCCCCGATACTCTGGGACCCTCCCTGGGGGAGGTGTGGACCCCGTGCCCCAAGGAATCAGTCACCCTGGAAATCAGTGGACAAGATTAACCTCCTCTGACAGCACAGCTCACAACTCTCCAGAGGCAGACACAGTTTGGCTTTTAATGGCATACACTGTAATGAGCACGGCTTCCTCCCAGGTCCCAGGCTCAGAGCTGTCGCCAATATTGCAACTGTTACAAACAGCCCTTCAAGGGGCCAGCAGGCCGTCTGCTCGGAGTTCCTGGACTCACACGTGGCAGACTGTGGTTTAAGCCTAGGACCCGGTGGCTTGAAAATCACGCCAATTGTGTGCAGGCATGCCCGAAATCCCAGGAGGAGCATGGAGAAGGGATTTTGACATGGCCACCCCCCTGGATGGTGATTTCTCCCTTTCCCTCTCACTATGTCTCTCTGGAGAGCTTGCACGCCCTATGGTAAACACTTTTTTAAAAAATTCAAAGTTAACTGGAAGGTTTTTTTCTTTTTTTTTTTGAGAGGTTTTCGCTATAGGGCATGTGCGCTCACCAGACAGACAGAGAGAGACATAGAGACAGAAAGCGAGAAATCACCCCCCGGGGGGCATGGCCACGCCGCAATCCCTTCTCCTCCATTCTCCTCTCGGGATCTTGGGCATGCACACACTCGCACCCGGCGTGAGTTTTAAGCCACTGGGTCCAGGACGCGAACTGCAGTCGACTACACGGGAGTCCAGTGACATAGCCATTACGCTAATTGCTTGTCCCTGGAAGGGGGTTTTTAGTTCTCCTTAAAAACAGCTTCATGCAGAAATTGACAGCCGTGGGCTCAGGCCACACCTGCTGGCACCAGGCAGGCTGGGTCAGCTGGGCGGGCCACCACCCTCTGCAGAGGTGTGGCCCTTGGGGACACTGCAGCTGGCCGATGGTGCTGGCAGTGTCCCAGCCCTCTCACTGCGTATTAACAAGGAGCGACCCTGTGAAGGGCCAGGTGCCCTAACCGTGTCACCACTGGGACTGCAGAGACAGGGACTCTCAGGCCCGTGGAGGGTCTACCACTGGGTCAAACCGGATCCACGGCTGGCAGGACTGCAAAGACGTGAACTGTTAGGTGCTTAATACTCAAAGAAACAGAGAAAGAAATCCCAGGCGGGCTGGAGGTTGTTTCTAGTTACGAAGGCGAAGGGGCTGAATGAGGCCACTGGGAATCCACTCTGGTGGACTCAGCACCTGAGGGACTGGTCACGTGTTAGGAGTGAGGGGCCTGAGGGTGGCCAGGCCGTTCACGTGACTGTGGAGGGGCCAGTGGCCCAGTGCTAAAGCCCCGTGATGGACTGGCCTGGACACGGACGAGCACATTCAGTTCTGGGGAAGGAAGCGTGTCAGGAGTGACAGTGACTGTGGGGAGGCGGGGCCTGGGTGCAGCTAAATGCCACCGCTGCGTCCTCTGACAGCTGGCAGCCAGCGCCCGCTGTCACAGCCCCTCATGCTTCCTCATAGCCGAGAACAACGCCATCAGCGAGGCCACAGAGACACTGCGCCTGGGCCCTCAGGTGGCCACGGAGTACGTGGGCCTGAGCGCCGCACGGAGGCCGGAGGTGTGCGAGCACTCGTGCGAGGAGCTGACCCGCATGGTCCGCGAGCTCTCTGGGCTCCACGTCACCGTGAACCAGCTCAACGAGAACCTCAACAAAGTGGTGGGTGGCTGCAGCATGGGTGTGCGGGCGGCAGTGTGGGTGTGCGGGCGGCAGCGTGGGTGTGCGGGCGGCAGCGTGGGTGTATGGGTGGCGGGCAGCGTGGGTGGCAGGGTGGCGGGCAGCGTGGGTGGGCAGCGAGGCTGGCAGCATGGGTGGGCAGGGTGGTGGTCAGCGTGGGTGGGCAGAGAGATGGGCGGCATGGGTGGTCAGCGTGGGCGGGCAGAGAGGCTGGTGGTGTGTGTGTGCAGCATGGGTGGGCAGCGTGGGTGGCCATGCTCTGGCAGGCCTGGAGCCTCCGTGGGCTGGGAGGTGCCAGGGGACGTGTGGTCAGAAGGGTGAGGGGAGCCCTGGCACTGTAGGAGGTACGGCAGAAGATGGGCACACGGGTCCTGGTGACTGGGGCTACGCTGTCGTGGTGGCTGGGCGCATGGGCAGTGGGGCAGTGGGGTGGAGGAGAAGGGCAGAGGAAGGGCCCAGTCCCCGCAGGCTGCTGTGGAGCACGCGGACCCTGGGGAAGGGGTCCTGCACCTGCCGGCCAGCCCCGCTCCCTCGGAGGAGCACACCCCGCTTACACCTTGGTCTACAGTATGAGAACTGTCGCCCTTTCTGCTTCTTTGTGGGGAGGGGGAGCAGGTGCCCCAAGAGCCCACTAGGGCCAAGGCTCTGGTACGGGAGGCCTTCCGGAACCTTCCACCTGGGCGTGGTGCAGGGCAGCCTCGGGTCGCAGTTGTGGCGGCTCCTCCTCTGTTGTGCTCGGTGGTCCTGCATGGTACTGCCGTCCCTGGGAAGAGGCGCGTCCTGTGACCTGGGGTGGGGTCGCCTCCCGTAGGGCCTCCTTTCCCCTGGCTGCCTGAGGCTGCGCCCAACCCCACAGCACTCGTCGGCAGCACGTCCCCTTCCACACTGCAGTGAGCCTCTGGACGGCCATTGAACCCACAGTGGGGACGGGCACGGCTCAGAGAGCGTGGGAGTGTGGGTGGATGTGGAGCGTTCTCTGCACAAAGGCCTTCCTCCGCGATTCTCATCACCCCCAACCAGAGATCGCCACAGGGTGAGGGCGTGCCCTAGTGTAGTCCAGAGGAGTGCACACAGGAGGGGACGCAGGGCACCTTCGGGGACACTGCCGTGCTCACGACTGGTGTTCTCACGCTGCGCCTTTTCCTCCGATCGGCAGCCGAGAACACCAATCCCCTGCCTTTCCCCGAGTGCATGCTCTGGGGATAGGGCTGTCCGTTGGACCGTGGCTGTCCCTGGATGCGGCACTGGCCTTAGCTCAGGGGCCCGTGGGCCCTTCCTGCCACAGCAGCGCCTGGCAACCTCCTCCCCGCGAGGCACAGCCGGCCACAGTGGTGGGGTCCGCCAAGGCCAAGGCATGCCAGGGCGTGTGCTGCTCAGACCACGCTGCGTGTGGATGTAGGAGGAGCCACTGTGGGGCCGGGGTCTGTGAGGAGTGTCCCCTGCAGGACGTTACGTCCCACGCCTGAGCGCCTGCCCCTAAGCAGAGCTGCACTGCAAGGGTGGTCTGGTGTGAGCCCAGAGCTCGTCTGCCATGCACGTGGTGGTGGATGCACCCAACTGCTCCCAACTGTGCCCTCGGTTTTCCAGTCAGACGACAACCAGCTCCTCTGGGAGCTCATCGGCGGCCCTCCGAAGACAAGGAACGTTTCGGCCTGCTGGCAGGACGGCCGGTTCTTTGCCGAGAACGAGACCTGGGTGGTAGACAGCTGCACTTCATGTACCTGCAGGGTGAGGCCCGGCCCTGTCCTGCCCTCCCCGGGGGCGGTGGGCCCTGCGGACGCAGCTGCACTCAGATTGTCCCCTGCGGGGCGACCAGGGCCAGGCCAGCTCGGGGAGAGCCCTGCGCTCCTGTGTGAAAGAGAAACCCAGACGGGGTGGTGACTGGCAACCCCACCACGCGGCCCGCCCGCTGGTCCCTTGTATGTGCGGGACCCCGTTTGCACCTGGGTGCCCGTGACACGAGGCCGGCCGAAGGTGTCAGACGGCAGTGGAGCTCTTTGCTGCCGTTACCGGGCACCGGTCCCTGTGTACGGCACCCCACGTCCTCCTCCGTGGAGCAGGCGGTCCGCGATGTTCTCATCACTCCAGGCAGGGTGGGGGCCAAGCAAAGCTCACAGCCTGGCCCCTCTGCGCAGTCTGCACGGGCCCTGACCTGGGGCGGGAAGCCTGCACTTGTCTCGGGCCCCTGCCCGGCCCTGCACTGGGCCTCCCTGAGAAGTCAGGCCAACAGGGGTCTCTCTTGACCACAGAACTTCAAGACCGTCTGCCGCCAAATCTCCTGCCCGCCGGCCACGTGCGCCAGCCCGGCCTTCGCCGAGGGCGAGTGCTGCCCGTCCTGCTCCCACGGTAGGCTGCTCGCGGGGCATGTCGTTTACTGGTTCGCCGACTCGGCGCGGGGGTGAGGCCAGGGAGGGTTGGAAGTGAGCCCAGGCCCCTGGTCGCCCCGGGGAATGCACACAGGGCTGAAGGTGCTCGCCAGTACTGGGGCTGTGGGGGCAGGAGGGCTCTGTCCTGTCCAGTGGCCTTTCAGAGGTGAAGCCAGCTCCCACGGACGCACGCTACAGACAGAGCCCGACTCCCATGGACACACGCTACAGACAGGACCCGGCTCCCACGGACACACGCTACAGACAGGACCCAGCTCCCATGGACACATACTACAGACAGAACCCGGCTCACTGTTACAGACACACGCTACAGACAGGACCCGGCTCACTGTTACAGACACACGCTACAGACAGGACCCGGCTCACTGGTACAGACACAAACTACAGACAGAGCCCGACTCCCACGGACACACGCTACAGACAGAACCCGGCTCACTGTTACAGACACACGCTACAGACAGGACCCGGCTCACTGTTACAGACACACGCTATAGACAGAGCCCGGCTCCCACGGACACACGC